AGCTGACGATTTAAAAGAGAACGCCTTACCACTGTGCTAAGTGCCTCTCATTTTATAAATTAAAGCCAAAAACAAAAGCTTATTTTCATTTTGAAAAACTGAAATTTTGATGAAAAAAACTGAATTTTAGAGTAAAAAAAGTTAAACGAAAATCATCGAAACAAACACTAATGAACCATGTCTAAAAAAAGAACCCAAAAACGCAAAAAATTTCTAGCTTGAACACATAGAAACATACTTAAATTCAAATAAAAAGAGCGTTTGTTTTGTTGTCCCTGCATTGTATGATACAGAAAAAAACAGCACGCGTATAATGATAAAAAGCTATCGAACTAAATTTGACCTTGCTAAGCAATATTCGCTCAAAATTTTGACTTCGGAATGTCGGTGATTTTGATTTGATAACATCCTACGCTTGCTCAGTTTTAGTCAATCGTTTGAAATGGTTACCGCTCCAAACAATTTAAGCTGGAAAGCAATTGAGCCAACATCAAAAATCGTTTGACGAAAAAACGGATCGAAAAAGTATAACATGAAAATATGAATCTGAAATAAGCCCATAAACCAAACTACCAGCCCTAAAAAGTCTATGATAAAAAAACTGAATATTGGAGAAAACAAATTTGAACGAAAATCATCGAAATAAACACTAATGAACTATGTCTAAATAAAAGAACCCAAAACCAAAAAAGTTCTAGCTTGAAAAACATAGATACATACTTAAATTCAAATAAAAAGAGCGTTTGTTTTGTTGTCCCTGCATTGTATGATACAGAAAGAAAAACAGCACACGTATAATGATAAAAAGCTATCGAACTAAATTTGACCTTGCTAAACAATATTTTCTCAAAATTTTGACTTCGGACTTTCGGTGATTTTGATTTGATAACATCCTAAGCTTGCTCAGTTTTAGTCAATCGTTTGAAATGGTTACCGCTCCGAACAATTTAAGCTGGAAAGCAATTGAGCCAACATCAAAAAATAGTTTGACAAAAAAACGGATCAAAAAAGTTTAACATGAAAATTATGAACCTGAAATAAGCCCATGAACCAAATTACCAGCCCTGAAAAGTGTATGAGAAATACAGCATTCCGCTAAAACAGTATCAAAAAAATAAACACAGAGTTTCTATTGTGAAAGAAAAAACTAAACAAATCCAACATAAAATGGATTAAATTAAAAAATTTATATATATATATAAAAATTTTTAAAATTTAATCCATTATATAATATTGAACTTGTTTAGTTTTTTGAGTTTTTTCTTTCTATATATATTAGTTTTTGATCAAAGATTCCCGTAAGTTGGATATCGAGTTTTTGAAAATTCTGAATTTTGAAAGTTTAATCTATCTATATAAAACACTTGCGATACAACACTAAAAAAATTGGCAAAAATCGAAAATATCAAAAACAAATTTGATCTAACATGATGAATAAGGCTCGTTTTGAAACAAAAACATGCCCAGACAATAGAAGGCGAAATTAGCATCGGAAAATAATTAACCAAGCGGTAATAAATACCTTGATGGAAATCTTTTGAGCCGAAAAAAAAGCGCTCGAAGCACTTTCAAAACATTGTTTGCTCGTCAAATGAAGCAATACGAGACAACTAAGCCGATATAAAATGGTCCGAAACCCAGAAACACACACATACGAATACGCACCGGCACACCCACACCCATGCACACACACACGCACACACACACACACGCACGCACACACACACAGAGTTTTAGTTTTCAACATTTTGCCAACAAAGTTCTTCAAAGGAGTAAAGTCTAAAACCTGGGTGCAACTCCCTTACTTTCAGTACGGGTAAAACAGAAGCAAAGCGGAGCATCACAAAATTGCGATGCATTGAAAACATTGCATTATGAGAAGGTGAAAAGAAAAAGACACGGAATTCGAAAACGAGATACATGAAAAAAATTACTTGGAATATTTTCGAAACAACTTACGTCTACAAAATTTTTATACTTTTTTCTCGAATGAGTTTAACAAACAGTGTTACGAATCACTTTCTACACGGTGATTAAATCAATAAAATTAGTTCAACTCCCACTGAGCGGAAAACAAAATCTTTGTTAAATATAATCTTAAACTAAAATTCTAAAAATCCGAAGTTCAAAGCCATGAACCTGACCAGATATAAAAATTTGCTTTCCAAAAAAACGAAAAAGAGCCGACAAAAATGAGCCGACGAAAACACGAATCCGAAATAATTCAAGTTTTTTCAATAATTTTTTTTGAAAAAAAACAAACGTTGCCAACACAGGTAAAAAAGATTCAATGAACACAACAAACCAGGAAAAAAGTACTGACTTGTTTTTTGAAGAAACATCAAATTTCGAAAAAAATAAATAGCTGTAAAGCTCTTCGAATTTCAGGAACAATTTATGACTGACACTTTTTTTGATATAACTAACCCAATTTAAGAAGTTTGGACAAGTAGGTAATTTATTTATTCCACTGATAATCTGAAAAAGATCACCCACTTTCAAAACTAGAAGGCCATCACGCTGTTTGATAATTGAGTTTGCTTTTCTAACAAAGGAAACGTGCTGATTTTGAAAAAAAAACTGATAATTTAAACCGCAAAAATCAACACAGAGGCAAAATTCATTTCGCATACATAGCAAAAATATGACCGATAAAGCTACTGGGAAAAACTCAATGAGTTAAACTTTTTTATAAGTGACGCATGCCAATTATGAATCTACATAATTGCAAAGTGACGCAAGTATATTCTGACGCATTAGCAGTATCATTCAAATTGAAAAAAATATATCAACTAACATGCCTCAATTGATAGAGCGGACGCATTTTAACTAGTATAAGAAAAAGTTAATAAAAACAACCAACACTGTCCAGGTTCGAACCCTTCTACTTTGTTATTTTGCTGCTGGCCTCATTCCCTACCTCTACGCTACAGATCCATGATACCTTGAAGCTGAAGTGCTATTTGTAATATAATAGTCTGTGTTAATATCCGTAGCATTTGCTGTACTGAATAGCTGGATCAAAATGAATACTTTCAAAATGAACACATTTTGTCGCAACAATTTTTGTGACTTTGGTTGGAAAAAAAGAAAATTCATACTATAAGACAAGTTATGCTTGGGTAAAAAGTATTTTTCGGGAAAAAAGTAAGTGCAAGTGAAACAAACTGCTGGAAAAGAGTCACTGAAATCAACGAAACTATTGTTTTTTCTTAGATTTCTTTCAACTTTCCAGCTTCAGGAAACCGTTTCAATTTCTTGACAAATTTTTCAGCCTCTAAAATTGATCATATTTGATCTGATAATTGAATACACAGATGCTGATCATTCGAGTTTTTTAAACAAAAATACTAGGCCCCTTCGGAACCATACGTCAATAGTTTGTCGCCACCAACATCGATTTTAGCTCTGCTCCAAACGGGCAGACTCAGAACTTTTATTACGAAGCATTCTGAAACATGTTATCGTCTTATGCGCAAATTCTGAGAGAAAACTTAATGATTTAAAAATCAACATGTTTTGAAGACCATGACTTATTAAAATCGTCTTGCCACACAATAATTTCGAATGAGATCATAATTAACACACCTAATATTGATTTCTGTAGCTCGCTTTAACTTGATGCAAGCCACGTCATTGACTTCAGGTTTAAATAGTTGTTCATTATTTGTTTCTTGTATCAAACTTTGACCTCAATTTGCAAGAATTGCACCATCCTTGCAAAGATAACAAAACCATTGACAACAGATGTCTGTCGCTCTGGTTTAAAATAATGACCAGGCCAATTTCAAGTTATTCGATTTGAATCATTGATCGAACGGTACGGAAAAAGTTGGAAGAAAGTCATTATAAATTCTTGAGAAGTTGTAGTTTTATTTCAAAATTACCTTACGACTAACACAAAAGATAGGGCCACTAAGCTTAAGACTCAAAGTTATCCAACTCAGGGACAACAAGCTAGATTGATAAATTGAAAACTACATCTCTTGTTTTGCACAACGATTGATGCAAATCGCAACAATTCATTAGGAGAAAAATGAAAAGCATTGCATCATTTCTTTAATAAATAACATGATGGTAGAATGGCATGGTAATTTCAATTTTCCATTCCAGGCCATTGAGTTGCTCAAACACCCACGTATTCGATATTTTCTGATTATCTTTGCTTTTTGCTTAGGGGAGAGTAACCAATTTTCCCCGATTCAATTCAAGCATAACAAATTTGACGCAGACAACAAAAGAGATGAAAACCTGTTCAAACGATTCTGATGCCTGTATATTGCTTTTGAAAACAGTTTTAAATTAACGAATTAAATCTATTCTCAGAATTCGAACCCAAATGTCATTTTTGTCTTTAAAAAGTAAAACAAATTAAGGTATCGAGGTATAGTTATAAGTTCACTAGCAACATATCAAAAATATTATCAATATGTAAGATAGATACAGATAAAGAAAAGCAAAATAGAACAATATTTGGCTTTAAAATGAGAAAATTATCACCATTGCTAATTACAGTTTCGTTAACGAAAAATTAGGTCTGCTAAAATTGACATTTTTCTATACAGTTATTTGTCGGCCTTGAGGTGCTTACACACGGTAGATAATTGAGGGAAGATATTTAATAGGCCGAATTTTAAAGGATGATTCCAGATAAAATGAGTTTTAGCTGGACAGATAACAGTTGTAAAATCATCTCGGTCGGTAAACATAGCCAACGGTCAGTTGGAAAAGAGTCAATGAACGCAAGGAAACCAAATAAAAACTTCAACTGCCGATTTTTCAAATATAAAAAACGAATGCTCTTGAAGCTTTTTGGATTTTAAGAACAATTTACGATTCACACTTTTTTTTCAAATAAATTAAACTCTTGTGTTTGATAGTGGATTTTGATTTCCTTTCAACAAAGGAAATGAACTGCACTTAGAAAGAAATTGAATGTCAAAAAATGTCAAACGCGGAAAAATAACTTAAAGAAATTAACTTTTTCCTAGATTAAAAAAAAACATCATCATGACCTATATAAGAGTCTTCGTTCCTTGACTCTTAAGAGTCACACTGTTCATTGACTCTTAATAACATTTCACCATCATTTGTTAACACACAACCTCGGTTTACAATCAGTCAATTTTTAGTTCCATTCCACCTCCAAATCACAATTTTTCCACTATAACTACCAAAAAATGTTAGTTTTTTTTCAGTTTTTATAGAGTTTATTTTAAAGGTAGTTTTGTGAATAGCTACACAGCTTCCCTTTCCGATCCAGTTGTTTTTTTTGTCCAGGAGCTGTTATCAATTTTAGACGCTGTCATTAGTGTTGTAATATCCTGTGGTCGTTGTGCTTCATTAATAACGATGAGTCGAGATATAGCTGCTGTTGCGGGGGTAGTGTTATGCCTCCATCCCATGTACATTTGGCGGGGGATTAGTGGGAGGAGGGGCTGCCGAGTTGATGTTGTCGACGTCGAAGTCCTCCGGTAGCACTGGGGGTCTCTCCTCGAACGTGGACAGGGCCTCGTTCAGCACATTGCGCAACACTCCTCTGTCATCTGTCTCGTCCACTCCTAAAATAGCCACTCACACAAACTAATAAATTAATAATAATAAATTGTTTTCATATAAGAAACTATTCAATTGACAATAGTCAATATACATAATTCTGGTATGCAAGGACATGAAAAGGCCAGATAGACCTAGTCAATGATGCCTAAACAAATGTTTTGCTTTCACAATCACGCAAAAAGTTCAAAGCTTTTAAAAAAAGAGCTCACACCATCAAACACACAGTGAAATGCTTCGCCGAATTATAATAAAAAAAGTTAGATACTGGTTTCAATAACGGTGTTAATGACTCAGCATTAACTTTTGATTCATCTTCTCACGGCTAACAAACCAAAATATGAATCAAGACAAAAACCAAATTTTGACAATCAAGTTCTATCAGAGCTTGGTATTTAAGGCAGTGGCGGATCTAGGATATTCTCGAGGGGGGGGGGGGGGGGGGCGGAGTTTTAAAAGCGTTTGGTAAATTTTGTTGACCTTTTCTTTTTTTAAGCCGACCAAATTGATTTCCGAACACTCCCAGAACACTATAAAGACCCTATTTTGACCGCAGCAGACAAATTTTGAACCACAGCAGACATTTTTTTGAAAATTTTGACCAAAAAATCAAGTTTTTTCGGCGCGCTCTCCCCTTCAAAAATAGTATATATTGACGCCTTTAAAAAATTTGTAGGGTTAAACCCTGATTTTAGGTAAGATATTTGGTATTTAAGTATTTACGTTGTAGATGTGAGAAGGAGAAAGGTTCTGTGGCAACTGGCTCGTCGTTCGGGTCGTGATACTGGCTGACGAATGGGTGCTGGAGTGCCTGCTCCACGTCCACCCGATTGTCAGGGTTGAACTTCAGCAGTAGTTCCACCAGGTCTGCACAGAACAACAAAAACAACAATCATCAATTCATATGACCAGTTAAGATCAAGATTGCCTTTCAAGCCAACATGTTTACTACAGAGTAAATGAGCCCAGCTTTGCAAGAAATTCAAAATCCAGGAGATATTCAAGTTAAAATATTAAAATCGTTCAAGAAGAAAAGATAGCCAATAGACAGTTGAAAAATGCCAATGAACGCAAAAAATCTTTAACGCTTAAAGGTCAATTTCCAGTTTCAAAGAAAAAATTAATGGCCGTAAAACTTAGATGTTAGAAAAAATGTATGATTGATTATTTTTTGATAAAACTTATTCAATTTGAGAAAACTGGGTTAATAGTTAAATTTTTATTCCGCTGAAAAAATGAAAATTCAATTTCGAAACAAGAAGCCATTCACGTTTTTGTCGCATAATTTCCACTTTTGCTTTCTTTTAGCGAATGAATTTGAAGTGCTCTTAAAAAGAAATCAAAGTCGTTTAAAAATTTCATGCAATTAAGAAAGCAAATAATGATAAAAAAATCGATAATTTACTGTTTTCTAATTGTTTCAACAGAAAAAATTTCATTTTACAGGAGCCGAAAGAAACTAAGACAGAACGACACTTCAACGAAAAAAGAACAAACAAAGGTTCATGCAATTAAGAAGCAAATAATAATGAAAAAATCCAAAACCTACTGTTTTTTAATTGTTTCAACAGCAAAAATATCACTAAGACAGAACGAAGTTTCAACGAAAAAAAAAAAAGTATACAATTTTACAATTTTCCAAAAACAAGGATAGCTGGTTGCTGTGCACAGAATGTTCCGACCATATTCATTAAAAAAATTGAAAAAACATTATTAATTTTCTTTACATTAGTGTCATTTTTAGTGGGTGGCATGATTCGAGAACTATAAGATCGCGTAGAGTATTAGTGAATTAAGCATAATCGACAGAAATTGTTTTCAAAGAATGAATACCAAAAAAATATATATAAAAAAAATTAAAAATTGTCTTATTTTTTTTTGTACAATTAGTTTTAATTTTATTTGTAAATCTTGTTTGTCAAATGAGTGCTGAAAGAAACTTCCAAAACTAGTTTTCTTGATATTTAAGCCAAGTTTTGAGATAAAAAACTGAAAAAATCAGAAATTTTTGAACCATTTTTTCTCGACACTGGGAGAATTTTTCGAAAATTTTTTAAACTTCGTTCGAATCACAACTTAAAGAGCTTTAATATGATTCACCACTCATCTTAGATTATTTGTGGTACCTGATTTTGCGTGGAAAACAAAAACAAAGAAAAAAACTGAACACCTGAATACAAAGATGATTACTTGTGGAAGCTGATTTTGCGTGGAAAACAAGAGTTTAGGTTGCTGAAGAAACTAATGGAGTTCTAATTGAGAAAAATGGTTTCAATTTCTGAGCTTATCGCAAGAGTTAGAATTTTAGAAAAAAAAACGCGTGAAGCTTGGGGGAAATTTTTATTGAAACGATTTTTTTTTTAGAAAAGTGCATATAGCTCAGAATGTTCTGACATTAATAAACTTTACCTAATAAAAAGAACGAATTCGTGGACTTAAGTTATAGAGGGGTTGGTTGAAATTCAGATGGCTAGATGGATGATTGGCTGGCTGGATTGATGGCTGGGCGAATAGATCGATAGAGATAAATGACCGGAGGGGTGGACCGATTGATCGCTGGATGGATGAATTGGTGAACTGGATGGACGAATGGTTGTTTGAATGAACGGCTGTATGAATGAATGGGTGGAGGCATTTTGGGTTGGCATGATAGCTGACTGGATCGATGGCTGGACCAATGAATGGCCGAATGGAGCGCTAGATGGCAGAGTGGATGTATGGCTGAATGGATGGAAGGTGGGCTGACAGAAAGGATGAAGGGATGGCTGATTGAACGGAAGAAAAGCTTGATGGATGGACGGATATAGTGTTGGATGAATGGATGTATTTATGGATACAAGGGTGGATGGATGGGTAGTTAGATAGAGAGAGCTAGATGAACAAAGCGCTGGATGGACGAATGGCTAGATGAATGAATGAATGTTTAGATGAATGTCTGAATGGATGGCTAAACTGATGTACGGGTTTAGCCATTTAGATAGCCAGATGGAACTCTCTCTTATACTACCTTGATCTGCCCGTCCTTGCCCTGCTCTCACCTGCCTTGCCCTCCCCTGTCTCTTATATCCCTATCCTCTACTGGTATGGATATATCCTTACATTCGGGCCTTACCAATGAACACTCGTAAAAAGGAAAATCAAAACTTTTATTTATATTCGAAGCTAAATCGTATATTGCTCTATCATTGCAATATACGATTTAGCTTACATGTTCAAAGTACATTTAGTTTCAGAAAGCTTAAACGTGAGACATGGTATAGCTGAAACAAGGGGAGGTAGCGGTAGATGCGTTTAAAACATAGCCAACTGTTGAACTTCGAAGAAAAAATAGATGACCTTAAAGCTCTTTGAATTTGTAGAACAATTTATGATGACACTCTTAGTTATAACTAACCCAATTCGACTAGTTCAATAGGTAAAACTTTTATTTCGCTAGGAAATCTGATAATTATTTTCCATGCTCGAAATTGGAAGTCGATAACTTTTTTTGTGAACTTTCCACTTTTGCTATTCAATAGTGGAGTTTGCCTTCCTTTTAACAATGGAAATGTACTGAACTTAAAAAGGAATAAGTCAAATCGCGAAAATCAAAATTGAGCGTGAACAATTTTTGAGACTTTTCCCTGAAAAAAGAATCACCAAGACCTGAGTACTCACACATTCACAACTCTTAATAGATCAAAGAATACAAATTTAAGTGCCTTAACTTGATTGGGACCATAAAGAATCCCAATTTATCAACTAGACGTTTCTTCACTCTTCGTACGAAATAGTTTAAAAGCAAAAAATGCTGCTTGTTTTTCCTCGACACGGGAACAGCATTTTGCATTGTATTTCAAATCACAATTGACAGAGCTTTAATATGTTTCATCTCTCATCCTCATACGAGGTGTCTTTATGCAACCTGTTTTTGCATAGACAAGAAGACGCTACACTACACATTCATAAAAAACTTCAAAACATGAACTAAAGCAAAACCATTCGGAATATGCATCAAAATTGAAATTATCGTTGAATACTTCTGACCTCCAAACGTTTTCTTTTGTAAAAATAGTACAAAATGAAGTGCAAAAACTGCACAAAGTGTGAAAACTTTGAAGCTGACAGACTGCTCAAAAATGTGATTACTGTTTTTATCTTCGGTCGAATTTTACGTCTAGTTGCAGACTGATAATTAAAATTAAGTATGTATGTATTTGAGCAACATGTATGTTGCTGTTGGTAAAACAATGTATATATAATTTTACCCATTACATAAAAGTTGAACTAATTGAATTGTGGTCAAAAATCGAAGAAAAATGAAATTTCCATTTTATTAGAAGAGGTCTAAAGAATTTTGTCTCCAAAAAATTCTTTCAGAAAGAATTTAATTAATTCTTTGTTTAAGGAATAATAATTTGCTTTGTTTAAAGATGTTTTGCAAGACATACCTAAGGCATCGGTGTTTGGAGTAGGTGTGACAGAGTTGAACACAGTCGTCCAGGGAACCTTTCTACTAGCCTTCACCGATTTCACATAATTTCGCGCCTTCTCATTCCGGATGAAGCTCAGCTCCTGTTCTGCGGGCATGCCGAGTACATTCAAAATCAGAGTAAGCTGTTCCAGATAGTTCTTGCCGGGAAACAAGGCTCGCTTGGTGAACATCTCGGCAAAAATACACCCCACAGACCACAAGTCTATCGATTTGTTGTAACCTGCCAATCAAATTGCCAAATAATTCCAATCACCATTTCGTTTCAACCAGCATAACCGATCACTTTGCAACGTTAAGCATTAATTAGTTTAATTTTGTTCACGAATAAAAACATTGTTGCGTAATTCTGGGTTCTTAAGCTCAACGTACTACTAACATTTTGAGTTGAGCATGATTTCTGGCGCCCTGTACCACCTCGTTGCAACGTACTCGGTCAAGAATCCAGCATTGTCTCGTCTCGGGTCAGCTACCCTCGCCAATCCAAAATCACAGATCTATAGAAAATTTTCTTTACTAATCATTCCTTAAATTGACGTGATTTCGAATAAATTTATTGATATTTTAATGTGTGTTCAATAAGCCGCCAAAGCAAACATAGCCAACAGACAGTTGAAAAAGAGTCAATGAACGCGAGGAAACAGAAAAAAGTTGAACTTGTTTTTTAAAAAAATCTCCACTTTCGCAGCTCAAAAAAGTGTCCTTCAAAACCTTTTAAATTTCTAGAACAATTTATGATTGACACTTCTTGATAAAAATTAATACAATTTGAGAAAAATGGATTGCTAAATAAATGTGTTATTTCACTGGAAAATCTGAAAATTAAAAACTACTTTAGACACTAGAAGTCGATCACGTTTTTCATGGCCTTTACACTTTCGCTGTTCGATAGTAGAGTTTGCGTTCCTTTTAACATAGCCAAATGACAGTTGGAAAAGAGTAATGAACGCAAGGGAACTGAAAAAAAAAAACGATTTATTTTTTCAAAATTCTTCAACTTTTGAATTTCGTGTAAATTAGATGGACTTAAAGCTCTTTGAATTTGTAGAACAATTTATGATGGACACTTTTTGTTAAAACTAACCCAATTTGAGAAAACTGGATCAATATGTAAAACTTGTATTCCGCTGGGAAATCTGATAATTAAATTTCTTTTTCAAAATTAGAAGTCGATCAGGTTTTTCGTGGCCTTCACAATTTTGCTGTTCATTAGTAGAGTTTGCCTTCCTTTTAACAACAGAAATGCACTGAATCTAAAAAAAAACACGAGACAAACCGCGCAAAATCAAAATTGAGTGTGAACAAATTTTAAGACTTTCTCCTGAAAAAAAAAAAACAAATACAAAAAACAATCAGCAGGACCTATTTAAGAGTCTTCACTACGTTCATTACTCTTAAACAAAGAAAATGAACTGAACTTAAAAAGAAATCAAAGTCAAACCGCGAAAAAAAAATTGAGCCTGAACAAAATAAAAATTTTCCTGAAAAAAAAACTAAAACAAAATCATAACGTACTATATGAACAGAGGCGAAGATGAGCTTCGCACCACTAGCGATATAAAAGAGAAAAGTCGTTAAAAAATGAAACAGATCGAAAAAAACTAGATCTATTAAATGAACAAAGCTAGTTTTAAAACAACATGCCAAAACAAAAAAATGTGTAATGAGCATCGGAAGATAATGTACCCAGCGGTAAAAAAGCCGAAAATACGTCGTCAGAAACCTTGTCAGAAGTCGAAAAAAACCAACAAGAATTCAAACTTCTGAAAACTTGATAAGACCACCCCACCCTCAAAACACTTCATTTGCTCGTCAAATGGAACATTATGAGCACACTAAGCCGATATAATATAAGCCGAAACCTATTAAGCCCAAAAAAATGGAAAAAAAACAGCCGAAAAAAATTATAAAAACTTAAGACTAATAAAAAATTAGAAAGTCGCCCTCAGCCTTAAAACACAGATACGCACACACAAAACTTTTTAAGTTCGTCGAAAGATGCAATATGACGCCAATAAATCGATATAATATAGGCCGAAACCTATCAAGCCGAAAAAAGGAAGAAAAAAAAATCGGAAAAAATTATTGGCATTGAGAACTTGAACTATAATTTTGTGCAATCAAGAGATGAGCATTAAAAATGTGTTTCCGTTGAAACTACTCAAAACTAGGTCAATAAGCCAATAAAAAAGAAGCCGAAATCATATCGGCTAAATAAAATTTTTAAACAAAAAAAAATATATGTATATATACGAGGTCAATTTCCGTAAAAATACAAACAGCACAGAGTGAAATCAGAACACTAAAAGCAAGTATAAGGTCAAAAAACTTTTTTAAAAAATATACAATATGGCAACTAAGCCGACTAAACATCAGCAGACAATCATCAGGCGCCAATTTTTTTTGAAACGGACCATTTCCAGTTTGAACAGAAAAAACAGGTCCGGTCAGTTTCAAACCCAGAACCTTTGGCGCCGCAGGCGTTTTTGTTACCTCCAGACTAAAGGTGCCGGAGACGCAAAATTCTGCGAAATTTGGACCCGAAATTATACCTCAAAAGCAGGTCAGGTTTGGTTTCATTTGAATTATCAAGAATTACGCTTAAACTATCGGGTCTGTTGTTGCGAAATAAATAACAAAATGAGCCTCTCAAGTACTCCAAAAACGCTATAACCTCCAAAAAAAATTGAGCACAACGTTCAACAAATGTTTTTATATCAAAAACTGGTAATTTACATAAGTGGTATTTTTACACTGATATCTTAGTAAGAAAACCTTCTTTGTTTTCAACAAATATATTTTTTTATAAAAATTTTAAAAAAATGAGCTGCATAAAAAGCTGACTTTGAAAATATAGCTTACTGACAGTTTGAAACATGCAAATGAACGAAGAAAAATAATTTAATTTTTTTTGTAAAAACTTAAACTTTCGAACTCTAAAGAAAAACTAGACGGCCTTAAAGCTTTTGAATTTGTAGAGTAAATTAGATTAACACTTTTTGATAAAATAAAGCCAATTTGAGAACTGGATGAATAGGCAAGACTTTGATTTCGCTGGGGAATCTGGTAATTAATTTCCACTTTCGAAATTAGAAGTCGATCATGTTTTTCGTGACCTTTACATTTTTGCTGACTGATAGCGGAGTTTGGTTCCTTTTAACAAAAGAAACGAAGTGAACTGAAAAAAAAAATCAAAATCAAATAGCGAAAAATGTAAATTGAGAGCGAACAAATATTAAGATTTTTTCCTGAAAAAAACACAAAAACTCATCAAGACCTACATAAGAGTACTCAATACGTTCATTACTCTTAAACATAGCCAACAGAAAGTTAGAAAGTCCATGAGCGCAAGGAAACAGAAAGAATACAGCCTTGTTTTTTTGAAACGTTTCAACGCTGGAATTGCAAAGAAAAAAACATATGCCCCTAAAGCTAATTGAATTTCGAGAACAATTTACGATTGACTCTTTTTAATAAAATTAACTCAATTTGAGAAAAATAGATCACTATGTAGAGTTATTTTCCTGTGGGAAACGAACAAAACTTGAAAAGAAATCAGAAGTGCAACCGCTTAAAATCAATTTCGACCGTGAAAAAATCTACGACTTTCTTTAGGACAAACTTTTCATAACTTTCTCAGCCATTGACCTAGTAGTGTTAGCGTAACTTTTACTGTCTATACGGAGATAAAAAATTCTATTTTTTGGGTGATAGATTCAGAACAAAATTAAGTACGAATGGTAAAATAAATTATACCATACTAATTCTATAATAATGTTTGGTTAAATGTCAACTCAATTTGAAAAAAACGCAAAATAAATTTCCAATTTCGCTATTTTTGTTTAGAAAACTTTAAACAGCACTGTAAAATTCAGAACATAGCCAACATACAGTTGGAAAAGTGCCAATGAGTGCAAGTAAACAGAAAAACAATAGTTACTTTTGTTCGAAAAAAATCGCTGTTTTCAAATTTCAAAAAAAGGTGACCCTAAATCCCTTTAAATTTCAAGAACAATTGAATGATTGACACTTTTTTTGTTGAAATTTACCGAATTTAAAAAAAAATGGATTGATAGGTAATTTTTTTATCTCTGAAAATTTCACTCCACTTTCATAACTAGAATTCGATCACGTTTTTCGTAACCTTTGCAACTTGCCTCCTTTTCAACGAAGATAAAAAAAGAACTTAAAAGAATCAAAGTCAAATCGTGAAAAAATTAAACAGAACAAATTTTAAGACTTTTCTTTAAAAAAATTTAAGAAATCATCGCGACCAATATATAATCGCGACCTAAGTTCATTGGCTCTTAATAAAAACATGTACAACAATAAGAGGAGAAATTGATAATATCGCTTCTGAAATGATCAAAAATCTTAGATTAATTGCGACACATTTTGAATAAATTGAGCAAAGACCAAAAAACGGTCAACAAATCAGAAAGTTGACATTTACGCGTATCATAGCTTTTTTTGAAGAAAATCGGACGTAGCCGCTTATGCAGAAAAAATTCGACCAATCTGGTAATTCAGTGGGAACCAAAAACCTAGGTTTGGCTAGGTAGTTCTCGAGAAAACTCAAACAATCAAAATTAGGACTTTTCCTAGGGCTATAACTTTTTGTGGCAGAAAAAGTACTGGCGTAATTGCGTTTGCAAAGAAGCTTCTCATAGCCTGTTCTTTCGATTGAACCCCAAATCTCAGATATGAGAGAGTATTTTTCAGTACAAGTCAAAAAATATAGAAAAAACCCTAAAAAATTAACTTTTCCGAGGACGATAACTTTTTGTGTAAAAAAAGTTGGGAGTTACCCCTAATGCAGGGAAGCATCTCACCACCCGTTATCTCCATTGAACCCACAACCTCGAGTTTGGAAAAACTCGCTATTCCGCGGGAGATAATTAAATATGCAAACTTTGGGCTTGACCGCTTATGGAGGAGAGCTTTTCAAATCCGCTCTATATACTGAAATCAAAACCTTAGATTTGCTAGGTTGGTCTTGAGAAAATGATTTTAAAAATGTCGGTCAAATATTCCTCCACATATTTTTTCGACAGCTGTAGACCAAAAAAAAAGAAAGCAAAAAGAGACCAGGGGAGTATGCAGGCCTACATGAATGCGTGCGGTCTTTCTCTGGATACCCCTTTTTTGATCGGTAGACAGGTTTTTGAGAAAAACCTAAACTTTTTGCAAAAAAAGATAAAGTTTTCCAAAGCGTCTCAAAAAACATAGCCTATCGAAGATAGGAAAGGAGTAATGAACGCAAGTAAACATAAAAAAAACAGTGACTTTGTTGCAAATCTCAACTTCCGATTTTCAACGAGAAAAATAGACGCCCTTTAAGCTCTTTGAAAGTCTAGAACAATTTATGAGTGGCGCTTTTTTGATAACATTAACCCAACTTGAGAAAACTGGATGCAGTTAAAATTTTTATTCCGCTGGAAATTTAAAAAGAAAATTCCACTTTCGAAACTTAAAATCGTTCACGTTTTTTTGCGCTTTTTCTACGTTGGTATTTGGAGAGTGATGTTTACGTCACTTTCAGCAGATGAATTTTAATTAAACGTAAAAATTGCATCTATACATAACTGCATTCATAAGTGCATCAATATGTATGAATGCACATCTGGAGTTATTAGTGCATTGTAAGACTTTTCCTAAAAAAAAAACAAAAAAAAAATCAGCATGAACTTTTTCAGAGCCTTCACTGCGTTCATTCATCTCAATAAAACAATCCATTCATTTTCATAATACCTGTTTTTTTTCATACAGGAATACTAGACAAACAAGCCAAGCAAGATGTTTGAAATTCAAATGTGCAACTGCTCAAAACTTACGAAGCGGAAACAAGGCCGACGATCTTTTGAGCAGACACCAGTTGAGCCGAAAAAACTGATCATCTAAAAAACTTAAAGTTTCAAGTCCCCACTGAAACTACCCTGTAGGACATAGACCCATTCAGTAGTTAAATTTGAATTTTCATGAAATTGAGCATGTCAGCTGAAGATCATATCCATAGAAGAGCATGTCAAGTGATTCAAATGATTTTGTTAAACTAGTTGTTAACCCGAAAAGAAGTCTACATTCCGCTTTGATAACGCTTGCTGGTCGCCAGTATAATGATCATATGGGGTAGCCAGTAGAACGAGAAAGTTAATATCAAATTACCTAAAACACGTGCTCTAAGTTTTTATAGGAAAAAAAGTCTAGTATCCGAAAAAAAAATGTTAACGCAAATTAAATATACGTACTTTGAGATCGCAATTTGTGTTGATCAACAAGTTCGAGGGCTTCAAGTCTCTGTGAATGACGTTGGCAGAGTGGATGTATTTTAGGCCACGCAAAGTTTGATAAATGAAGTAACAAATGTGCTCGTTTGATAAACTCTGTTGCTTCAATAATTTGTGAAGATCTGTGTCCATTAAACCTTGTACAATATAAATTTCTTTTGCATCTAAACAAAAAATGGGTTGGCCATTTGTATGTTATTTTCAAAAATAACAAACAAACATTTAACTATTGAAAAAAAAACATGTTATTTATTTCTCGACACCAAGATGGGCCCATACGTGAACACATCACCTCGAAGAGTTCCGAAAATAAACCAAAAATCCCGAGCTGAAAAATCGGAAGGATATTCAATCTGAAAAACAGTTATATGCTGAGTGTTTTTCTAAGAAACGCCCACATTTCTAAGAAATAGCTAACGCCGCTATTAGAAATTATAAATAACTTAGTAAGTTAAATTTGATGTTGAATAACTTCCCAACCCTGAAAAAAAATATTCAGTAATTTTTGATAAAAATCTTTATAATGAAATATTGAACAGACCTATTAAAGATGGATGGCAAAAAATATTGCAGATTCGGATAATATTTTCATGGCTGAATCTAGTCAGTATTAGAATTTCTCGAAGCGTCCTCTGCAGGAAAGTCGCATGCTCGAAAGGCGCAACTTTTTTGATGGCAACTGGATGATTGAAATCCGTGTCTAAAGCCGAACATACAACTCCATAAGCACCGTCTCCAATTTGTCTAAAACAGTAAATAAAAACATGCAACCAGCCGTTTGAAGTTGAAATATTAATTGAGGAGTTTTGAAGTACAAACCTAATGTTGGTATAACGCGGCTCAACATTGAACGTCATTCCTGAAAAATAAAGTTTTTGACAAAACTGGATGCTGATATTCCTTTTGAAAAGCCAGCGAAATAATTTTATCAAAACTTGCAGAAAAGAGATGACCTTGCAACACAAATTGCTACGGGAAAAATAAATACTATCTAACGATCGGTCTGACTATAAATATTTTCAAGTTTTTCGTCAATAAAAAAATAATAAGAAGACGCAAAAAACGGCAAAAAAGCTACTGCTGGTAGTAGTAGCATAGGCTTTGGGACGATTGTCCAAGAGTTTTCACCCCTCAGTTTTCTACTCTTTCGGAAGTAGATAAAACGCCCTAAAATCATCATATCGTCCAGCCAAAGTTTCCGAGTTTGTGAAACTTGGAATCAACAAAAACAACACAGAGGCGAAGCAAATAAAAACAGAAACAACAGTGAGAAAACGGCAAAAAATAGCTCGAAAAGGGACAAAAAGTCAAATAAAAAAGAAATGAAATGTGAAACCAATGAAAAATCTGATATGTACCGGAATCTCACCCCGATCTAATAGGAGTCACACGTCCTAGCATCTGCACCACATCGCTTTTAAATTGTGAAACACTAGCCCTCAATAAACAAGATGCGGGGCTGTCTTTTACCAGACGGGCCGTTTACCAGACCGACCTTTTACCAGGCTACAATCCAATAATTCAATTAAGATAAGTTTGAATCAGTGGAAGATTCGCAAAGAAAGCGGTTGGAACAAACAAAACTTCGCAGAGAAACTGCTAAATTATTGTTTTAACCAGACTACATTAACCAGACATTACAATGTGAGATATCTTTGTAGCTTGTAGGGACCGACTTTTTACCAGAAAAGTTTTAACATGTACCTTTTTCATCAAACTCGATGAACAAATTTGCTTGACAGATTGTCAATCAAATTTGTTCACCGAGTCTGATAAAAAAAGGTCCATGTTAAAACTTTTCTGGTAAAAAGTCGGTCCCCACAAGCTACAAAGATATCTTACAATGCAGCAAGCAAAGGTAAACCAGATATAATGCTATTGCTGCAAAAGGCCACCAAATAAATAAGCCTATGTATTTGCGACTCGGGTTAAAAAATTGGACTTCGGAATACACTATGCTCACTACCTCGCTTGTGCGAAAGAACTTGGGGTCGGTACCAATGGGAGTTTGTTCTCCCTATTTCAATTCAATCTTAGTTTTGCTCAATCAAGGCTGCTCTTGTCCAGCAAGACCATGTCCTGTATCTAGAGACGAGACGAAACTACGATAAACCGAAATAAACAAATACAATGTCGTCAAGCGCCAACGAGGTTGCAACTATATCTTTACTCGAGGCTCAAAAAAACGGCTTATTAAATACTTTAGTGAGACAGAAAAGAGCGCAAACACAGAGGCGAAGCAGAACTTCGCAACACTACAATACAAAAATAAACTTTGCGGTACAAGATATTAAATGGAAAAAAGACAGAGGCCAAAAAATTTCAGAAGCGAAGAAAATTTGGCTTGAAAACAGTCGAAAAAATAAAAATTCAAAAACTTCATGATTCTATCGAATGATGTTCAAAGGCAGCCTTAATAAACATTGGTAATCAAATTCTAGTCGGCAACAAATTATGGGTCATTCCCTGTTGAGCCGAAATAAAAACTGTTTATCGTTGAAAATTTGATGAATTATTACAGGTTCTTTCGACTTATCTGTACTGAAACGCTTTATCAGACACAAAGGCGAAACTCAATTTCAAATCACTTGAGACACCGTAATTATAGATTCAAGCAACATGACGCTTAAAAGTATGCAAACAAAAATTTGAACAATTTTACAATTGAAGGGAGTGGAAAAACGAAAAAAAATCAAGTCGAGTTTTTATTCTATTCGTGTTTAAATTTATTTAAGTTTTTCAAAGGTTCTGGCGAGGTTGACTTTGGGCATTCCAAAATTGATGCCAGTCTTAACGATGTCGAAAGTAATTCCGGACATTTCAAGAAAAAAAATCGGTAAATAAGCGGACAGAATAAAAAACGAGAGCCAACAAGCTAAAACGCAGTCAAAAATATTCATTGAGAAATTAAAATGCCTCTCCAGCGCACTTTACCTTTATCATTTTTATTAGCAATTTGATATTTACTAATGTTAATACTTCTTGTATTATTAATTTTATTGTCAAATTTACTTTTTGTAACATTCGCCCGGAAGATACATATCGACGGATAACAAAACTAAGTCTTAAGACGACTGGCTAGCGTCTAAACAGAGCTTTGCATGCTTTTCACCGTCTCTACCAAGCCAGTACTTTTCGGTGGTCTTTCTAACATCGGGTCGACAAAAACGTTACTGTTCTCCGGCTTCGACCAGAACGCTCAAATTAACTTAATTACATGCAAATAGTGAGCTCATGGCTGGGTCTCAGTATCCCCAGACCACGAGGTCACTCCTAAAAACAGGGTTACTACTTATTATATTACTGTTGTTTTTGTTCAGTAGATAAAAATCATCATCTCCTTCGAAGATGGATCAACCCTTTCCCCCAACTCCTAGCACCTCATCCTTGTCAAAACTAATCCAAATATCAATTAAATTCAAGTCAGGACATGACAGGATGCTAAAAGTTCACACGAGTCAATAAAAGTTTTCCGTCCCGAGACCCTTCCGGATTCTTGAATCCGGTGAATCAAGCCCGTTGATCTCGATTTCTTCCCAATCCGGAAGGCTGATTTCTTACCCTTCACCGTTGTTCGCAACGGCCTCGCAACTATTGTAGCAGCACAATAGTTGCAACTCGGAACGTTTTCTGCAATCTGCTGCTGTTTTTCTTATCACGATTGTCGTTGCTATCGTCAGCGCAACTAATGTTGTTGTTTTTCTTCTCTCGTTTCTTGTTAAAATGGCCGTTTCAGCATTTCTCAGAAATGTGACGTCATCATTCGAATTTTTGAATTTTAAAATACTAGAATATTCCAGCCCTCACCGTTTGGCTAAACGTTCCAATAACGCCCTTAGTTCTTAAAAACCACCAATCCGGAAGGCTTACTGCTAAAATTCCGAATTCTGCAGAGATTGCATTTTGGCCATTCTGGTCGAATGTCACATACTCCCCGGACAGTCCGGTCAATGTCCTCATTGAATCGCGCAATGTTCGTAAAATGGTTACAGTGTCATCGAACAGAATTTACAAAATGCACGAAATTACTTTTATCCACGTCACATCGACTCACTGCAGAATATAAATGGCATCATACTACATCACTATAGCCTCCAAATTCTTTCATTAATCTGCACATTAAGGATATGACTTAAGATAAAACATATTTTCTAACTTCCATTGTCAATGTCCCGATTAAAACTTTTTCTCTTAGATTTAAAATGTGTTGGCTTGCGGGACAGTCCTGCCAACCAACAAGCTAAAATTATCCTACTATGCTCCTTCCCTTCGGAAATCTTGCTTGTTTATTGTCCTGAATATTAAAACTAAGAAACTTTGTGGTTAGAAAGAACAATGCAACAACCTCCCTCCTCAAGAAGTTACTCAAGTTTTTCATGTCACCACAAAGTGATCAGTCTTCCTAAGTGATTAAAAACAATCATGCAGGCTGGAATATTTAAATATACTCTTCCCTTAAGCCTTTCTAAATAAATAATAAGTGTCTCTAAAGCCACTTCTGCTAAAATCAAAATGCAAATTTATAAATGCAACAATTTAAAAACTCAACAAAATGTTTCAGTTTTCTATTACAACTTGGTTGCTTGGTTTCTCACTTGAGTTTTTCACACACATAAAACAATTCTGAGTTTTGACTTTTCTTCATCATTCCTTTGTTCTCTGCTTTTTTTCGTCGTTTAGAAGTTCTAAAACTTCTAAATTCTTCTAATTTTCTTTCTTGTTGCCTCTTGTTTTCTCGACCATTCGTCAATGTTCCATTTCCTCCTCCTGTGATGGTGACTCCGCATTTTCGGTTTCCGTGTCTTGTAGCACGTCGTTGGCTATCCTGACGCTGTTGGAAGCCGTCCTCCAACACTTCTGCTCTTCTACCCTCTGTTTACAGCAAGGTAGGGGATCCACGTTGGATTCTCTGTTTCTACAGAAGCTGTTGTGGAGACACAACGTCACGTTTCTCTCCAGATCTTCTTTCAGCATCTCTGCCTTCTCATTTCCACTACGCTCACTCGTCCTGGAAATTCTCTTCACAGCGGTAGTCACTGCATTCCGATGGGTCACGAAAGCTCGCTTGAAAGCTCCTGCCCCAATGTCCAGCTGATATTCACTGTATACTCTGCCATGCTTCGACATATGCTTTTTCGCATACTCGTACAACCATGCAGTCATGTTAGCTCTGAACCATGGCATCAATCGTTTTCTCGCCCATATCTTCTTCACTTCCATCGGAATGTTTAGAACTTTGCACATTGTCTCAAAAAGATCTAAATCTTTTAGACAATCTAATTTCAGCAATTGTTCTCTCGTCGGTGCCTCCCGTCTATTATTTTCTCTCACATGAGCTTCCATCCATCGTATCGCCATCATAACCAGGCATTTCGGGACCCGACATTTTTCAAACCCGAAACCCGATTACCCGATAAGCTAAAACCCGAACCCGAACCCGACGGTTTCTTCAAACCCGAACCCGAACCCGACATTCATTTCAAACCCGAAACCCGGCCCGAAACCCGAAAAAGATCTCAAAACCCGATTACCCGACCCGATACCCGACATGCCCGATTTTCAGGTAGATTAAATGGTATGAACGTTGACGTAATAAATTTGATGCGTTTTTAGAGTGTAACTTTCTCTTACAGTGAACAATAAAAATAGCTGTAAAAACAATATTTATGCAATAAATGTGTATTAAAATGGGAATGTATATAGAAAACAAAAAAGTTCAACGGAAATATAAAGCTGTATTATTATGAAATGGGAACGTACAAGTACGTATTAAACGCATTCCTCGGTGAGTTTCAAGAACACGTTGCGTGTAAAATTCTCCGTCTTAAGTCGCGATTGAATATCCTTCTTCAAGTACTTTGCAT